TCCTTTCTTCGAAAGCATCCAGTGGAGCACAGTCCGTTCGCAGGTGCCGCCCATTATACCCACCATCAAGTCGGATGATGATATCTCCAACTTTGAGGACGGAATACGGCATAAAGCGCGCCGTGAACCGCAGGCGAAAAAGTCACTGACTTCGAACATGAAGTCGAACGATTTTAGCGGCAAGGATTTGCCTTTTATTGGCTACAGTTTCGTTCATTTGGAAAATGATTACAGTGCAGCCGATGGTTCGGATACAGCACGCACAACTAAGCTGCAGGAAAAGCTGCGAACTCTGCAGCAAAAGTTGAAATCACGCGAAGGGGAGATCCTAAAGCTAAGACAGGAGCTGGTTAAAGCTCAACAAACAGTTAAGCAGAGTGACGGCTCATCTCAAGTGGTGCTTGAAGCTAAAATGGAAATAACAAAACTCCAAGATATTATTAAGGAGAAGACTATGGAGCTGGCCAGCTGCAAGACTCAAATCAAAACGTTGCAGAGCTCAGCAAAAATTGACGAAGAAATGTGGTCGAAGAAAGAAGCCACAATAACAGATTTATTGCGCCTGAATCGCCAAAAGTACGAGGAGGCGAAAATTGCATCAGAACAAAGATATGAGAAGCAGCTGGCGGAGAAGAAACAAGAGCTGGCTTGCACGGTGCAAAAGCTGGATGCGCGGGAGCTCGAATTTCATGCCAAAACTGACGAATGTAAACATCTTCAAGACAAGTTGGAGAACTACAAGGAAATGCTGAAGCAGCTGAAGGAACAGAGCGTTAAAGCCGACACCAATCACGAGAAGCAGAGACAACAGCTAACAGAAAGCTATGAGCAAAGGCTTTCAGAGCTGCGACAGAAACTGCGCGAATCGCAGGACACCCACCGTCGCATGACCTTCGAGCTGCAAAATATACGCACGGAGCTGGATGAGTCAATTAGTTCGGGAAAATCAAACCAAGAAGCTAAAAATGCGACAGAGCGTAGCATCGAGGACATACTCCAGCGACTCAATTGCGAGATAAGCGCAAACAACGAGCTGCGTGCAGCCAAGGCTTCTCTAGAGACGCAGCTTAGTCTAACCAAAAAAGAATTCGCTGAAGTACAGTCGGAATGCAACCGTTTGGAGCGAGAGCTACAGGTGATTGGCATTGATTCCCAAATAACTTACAAGTGTCTATAATGATTCTCTTTTGCTTATCTTACAGCTTGCTGAATGCCGTGGAAACTTGGCAGAAACATCGCTTGCGTCTCAGACCTCGCCTTACGAAACAGCGCCAGGTTCGCTGACGGAGTTGCATGCTATTGAGGATCAACTGCGCGCCGATTTGGTGGCTGCAAAGGACGCGGAGTCGGCGCAAAAGACTCGCGCAGATCAGCTGCAGGAGCTGGTTTCTAAGCTGGAGAGAATGCTCGAACGTTTCAATGAGCAAAGTTTATCCCCCATGAAGGGTCATTCGGGGGGTGCTGGCAACAGTGCCGTGGGCGATATGCTCGAACGGCAGAATGAGAAACTAGAGGATAAACTGGCTGCAGTACGAGAGCAAATGATTGTAGAGCGTCAAGCGGCACGAACCGCTAACTTATCACTCTGGAAGGTGGAGAAACAACTGGAGGAGGCGCTCGCCGAGAAGAAGCTGTTGGCGCGACGCATGGAGTTGACGGAAGAGCGGGTCAAGAAGGCGCAGAATGAACGTGACGAGGCACAACGTAAACAGAAATCCACGCAGGATGAGTTCCGTCAGCGCGATGCACGAATTGATGAACTGAAAGCTGAGTTGGCAGCCAGCAAGCGAGATGTGCTGAAGGAGCATCGCATGTGGGAGAAAGCCGAGGAGGAGCGTATGAAGTGCAAATCCGAAATAATCGAGCACTTGGCAAACATCCACAGGCTGGAGCAACAGGTCCGAGAGGTGCGTCAAAAGCTGAATCAGTCCCAGCAACGTTGCGATGGGCTGGGTCTGGAACAGAAGCGTCTACAGCGCGAGCTACAAGAGGAACGAGAGCGCAATGCGGCAGCTGGCGAAAACACTCAGGCCTTGCAAGCGGAGTTGAAGCAACTGACGGATAATTTCCAGCGCCTAAAATATGCATGTAGCATCACTGACAATCAGCTGACGGAGGTGGAGAATATGCTGGAGGCGGAGCAGAAGCGAAACAAGACACAGCAAGCCCAGCTGGATGCTTGCCATGTAAAGCTACGGGAGCGCAACGATCAGGTCACCCAGCTGCGCAAGGATCTGAATGTGCAGGAGTCTGAGAAGCGGCAAGCTGAGCAACATGCGAAAATACTGAGCGTAGAATTGGAGGAGCTCAAGGAAAACTTGAAGCAGCTGCAGATGAAGCTAATCTCACAACAGAGTCAGCTGGTGGAGCAAACGAATGCTCTGTTCGGCGCCCAGGAGAGGGCGGATCAGCTGGATGTGCAGAGCGCCAGTTGCCAGGCGCAGAATGCTGACTACGAGCGGGAGCTGCTTTGCCTGAAGGAGGAGAATGCTCGCATTCTCAGTGAGCTATTCCACAGCAAGGAGGAGGTGCTGCATTTGCATGACGAGGTCAAGAATCTGCAGACAGTGCAAACAGGACTTCACACCGAGATCGATGAGCTGCAGAATGCGCTGACCGAAAAGGAACAGTTCTATGTACAGCGGGACATCAAGGCAATGGCTACGCTCGCTCAGCACAAGAAACTCATCGACTATTTACAGGTAATGTGATAGCTATAGATTATTATTGATAATTGATAACTAATACACCAAAATTGTAGCTTAAGGTGGAGGATTTRTCTGCGAAGAAGAAGAAAACACTTGCAGACAAAATCTTTGGATCCAACAGCAATACCAAGGAGAACATATCGCCTAATGATGTGGAGTCATCAATACTATATCGTGCTCTGAAAGAGGAATTGCGCCGGGAACAAAAGCATTCCAAGATGCTGCAGGATCAGTTGGATCAATTAAATGGTAATGCAAGATAGAAAATGAAATGTCTACGGAATATAGTATGGATGAATTGTTCTTTTAGGCACTGCAACTTTACGTTCCCCACGTAAGTCAACCGTTGCTAATGGAGCTGCAGAAGAGCCCAAGCTGAGACCCGCTAGCATCGCCACAGTTCCCCGATCTCCACGCAAGCAGCCGACGACAATAAAACGCTCGGCAAGTCAAACGGAAACCAAAGCAAATTCGAAATCACCAGAAAAGCAGGAGGGCAAAGGCGAAGTAACGCATCATCGCTTCGAGTTGGCTTTGCAGGAATCGAAGGTCGATGCTGCCAACTGTGTGGCCTGTGATCAACCAATAATAGCCGGCTCGCCTTATTGGCGCTGCAAGGAATGCAAGGATGTATCGCACCGCAAATGTCGGACTAATGTGACTAGCAGCTGTGGCAGCTCAGTTGTGTCGTCTTGCGATGAGGTTAGCGAAGCTCGACCAGAGTCCAGCTGCAGCAGCAGTCTGGACACAATGGAAAGCGAGACTAACTGCACTGATGAGTACAAGGGCACACTGGCCTACAATGGCTCACAGAACAGCCACAACGGCGAGGTCATTGAGATCAATTGCGCATTCGAAATAGTGGAGCAGAAAATCTTGCTATTTGGCTGCAACAGCGGCTTGTTCACCTACAATGTGGATACACAGCGCTTGCTGCATATTGCTGGCATCGAGTCGGTCAGCTGCGTGTCCGTATCGACACGTCTGGCCAAAGCTATGATGGTGGGTGCCAGTGGCGAGAAGCTCTACCAGTGTGACTATCGGCAGCTGGAGTCACGTTGCCAGAGCACGATTCCCTGCAACAAGCCTGTGCTGGAGACGTCGGTCATTGAATTGCCCTTTGCCAATCGTTCGGTGAGCGAGAAGTGGAAACTTGTGCAGATCTCAAACGAATCTGAGAATGCTCTCGACTCGGTGGCCATTGCGGCAACTTCTACACGCATTGTCATACTCAAATACGATCACAAGCTGCATAAGTTCAAGCCAGTTCGTGCATTGGACACTGCCACGCCCGTAACATCGATTTTCTATACACGCCACTCGGCCATCGTCAGCTCGGATAAGTTTTATGAAATCGATCTGGATAACTATGCGGCCGAAGAGTTTGTCGATCTGGCAGATAAGACGCTGCAGCACACATCCAACTGTCAGCCCTTCGTAGCTGTGCGTATCTCTCGTCAAGAGTTCCTGCTCTGCTTTGCCGAATGTGGCATATTTGTCGATGAATTTGGTTGCCGTTCGCGTCCCTATGATTTGAGTTGGATCTACGCGCCAACTGGCTTCTTATACCGTGAGCCATTCCTTTACGTGGCGCACTATCAGTACGTGCAGATAATGCGGATACATCGCTCGTACAGCAAAGAGATGACCAATGCGGAAGGCGGAGACTCATCAGAAATACAACGTGCTTACTTGCCCCATTACATGCCTACTCTGCTGACTTCCAGTGGAGAGCGAAATATTTATACTCTGTCTATAGATAAGCAAGCGGGCTATCAGCAGGTATATCACCTGGATGCATTGCGTGCCTTCAAAAAGAAGCTCAACGTGTCCATGGAGACAATATCCTCGGTGGCAACATCAATAACGCTTGGCTCGGCGATGACAACGGATAGTCTATAAGGCGTACTTAACCAATAATATCTCTGCCTGTAATTACATACATGCGTATGTATATAGTATTTAACACAAATTTATCTTCAGTCACAAATCACTTTTTATATTGTATTTTATTTGAATATTTTAACTATGTTTATTTGCGATTTCAGCGAGAATAAAGCATTTTAATACATTTAGCGCCAAGTTTGAATGTCAGTTATTGGGGCACCCTGTGAAAGCTTCAGACTTGTGAACACGCCCTGTGCAGCATAACAGTTATTTTTCTTTTTAGTTCGCATAGGCTGATGGAGCGGCAACAGCATCTAATGAACGACTGCCGAGCTTTTGTTATCCAGCGCAGTAAAAGGCATTTAGGCGCAGGGTGCGGGCGTCATACATATTTCGGGTGCTCCAAACCACATACGCATACACACACATAAATGTATTGTTATTGTCGCAATTGATGTTAATTTATAGCATGCCGGTTGGCTGGGTATATGTAACCTGACGACGATGTTTAAATCAGAGCGAAAACAAAGCGCGCGTCGCACACTTGCTACAAGCGCAGCCGCTGCTGGTCAAATGTCATTGTGCCGAGCCTGTTTGGTACTGCTGAGCGCAGAGGAGCCCACCTACGATTTGTACCAGGAAAAGGATTTGGCCGCCAAGTTCATAGGTTGCATGCGTGCCGGCGATGGGCTGCGATTCTTGGGCGCTCCACTGGACAAGGAAGTGAGCCCACAAATTGTGCTGCGATGCATCTGCGATAGCTGCTACCAATTAGTGCAGCGATTCTATGGTTTTCAACGTATGTGCGAGGAGTCCTTTGCGAATTTTGAAAAACTCTTAGCGGAAGTCAGCTCGAAGACCAGCTACAACCAGAGAGAAAAGCATCCAACGGAGACGATAAAAGTCGCATTGCCAAGCCCTGCGGAAATTGATTTGCATACAAAAGGCGAGAAATCAATTGTTCAGGCTCGGCCTGTGGAGGCGTCCGTCTTAACGTCTGCCGAGTCAATTGAAGATATTGTGAGTGTAAAATTCAAGAGCAAACCCATGCACAGATAAGTTTTACTGTTTATCTGTGTATGTCTGCACAATCTAATCACATTTGGGTTGATGGTGCCGAGCGCGTTTGAAAGTATAACTGTTCATTTGAGCGTACGTGTGTAGGTGTGGGTGTGTGTGTGTGTGCATATGTGATACAGAAGACAATAAGCGCAAACAGTCATATATATATGTATGTTCGTATGTATATGGCACGCTTATTTTATTAGCGTGAGAACGTATCAACATAATCAGAATAGACATACATACATACACACTCACACACAAGTGTAAATACATATATGTATGTATATGTAATTAATTATCTGAATAAATGTTATCAGAGAAGGAAGCGGTTGGGATAGCAACGGCGTCCATTGTCGAAGCTTTTTAGCTGAAATCTAATAAGGATCGAAATGAAAAGGATGTAAAATATCAATAATTGTCAAGAACGGAAATTAAAGTTTACTTCACTTTTATATTTTATTTAACCAGCAAGCAACACCTGACACGAGGTACCTGTTAGGCAGGTACTCTTCACAAAATTATCTTGTTTATTTATTAATTGTATATACACAAATACAAACAAGTATAAACAATAAAAGAACTTGTTTGGTATCATCATTTATACATATGTATACTATATGTTCGGGCATAAGTATAAACAAGTTTAGCTTCTAATCTGAATATATATTTGTTTATCTGCAGGAAGAAGTCTATATAATCGAAGATGATGCGGCAAAAGAGATTCTGGGCAGGGAACGGATTGTCAAATCCGCTCAGCCAGGCTACACGAAACGCCCTTTAGGACTTCGCCATAAAATAGAATGCAATATTTGTGGTTGTGGGTTCTATAAGATGTCCCTTTACGAGGCGCACATGCAGAAGCATCAAGGCAAGCAGCCCTACAGCTGTACGGTCAACAACTGCGGCAGGACATATGCGCGAGCTAATTTGCTGGCAGCCCACCTTCGCGAGAAGCACCAAAACAAGCGAGCCTCATATGCTTGCACCCACCCCGACTGCAATAAGGTGTACACTGCGCTGCGCAGCCTCAACTACCATATCCGCCGCCAACATGCAAAACAGATTGAAGCCAAGAGTCCTATGCACATGTGTGATCAGTGCGGCAAGTCGTATGGGAGGAAGGCTCTGCTAACACGCCATCAATGGGTGCACAGGAGCAAGTGCGAATATGCCTTCGCATGCGATTTGTGTGAGCAACGCTTCTACACCAATCAAAATCTAAAGGATCACGTCCAGAGACGACATGGCAATAAGAAGCAACTGTGGCGCTGCAAACGATGTGCGCGCATCTTTCGCTCTCGAGTCACGTTGTCTGCTCACCTGAACAAGCATTTAAAATCTTGTAGATCCTAAGCACCTAGCCAAATTCGGTCCATAGTATATATATATATATATGAATTGTCGTATCGATTGACAGAGCTAATCAGTTATTCGATTTTATTTTAATTTTATATATGTATACGTAATTTCAATAACTCTTCAAGCTAACACAACTTATTACAATTTAAAAAGTACAATCATTTTGAAATACTAAAATTTTCGTTTTCGTTATTTTTGTTCATTTTTCTGTAATAGATATATGAATATTTATCGAGTCGAAAAACTGTTGATGCCGTTGTTGCATTAAAAGTAAATACATATATGTAGCGATTGGGTATCTGGGAGGATTACTATATAATTAGCTAACATTCACATGATGGCCGGGCCTGGGCCTGGGCCTGCACGAATTGCTTTAAATCAGTACAAAATTGATGGCAGTCGCCCGCTTACATACTTCAAAAAATCATTTATATAAAAAAAAAACAATTAACTAAATTTCATGCTTAAGTTTAAAAAAACAGACGTTATGGAAAATACATACATATATATCATATTACATTACATATAATTAATTTGCTTCAAATTCTTCAAAATTAAAAATCCAATAGTACCTATATATATATCAATGATAATCAGGAGTTGTAAATGCGAATGTACCAAAACAGCATGAACTAATATAAAGGTTGAGATGTGGGTGGGTGGTGTGTATGTAGTGCGGTGTTTGTTGGTTGTTTGTCGCACTAGACATACAAATGCTTAATAAATACGCCACAATATGAGCATAGATGAAAATGAGAGGGACGCCGCCATAGGTTCCTTTTTTTTTTTGGTGTTTAGGTATCCTTGTGCTTCTCATAGAAGGCATCTAGGTATTTTTTGTACTCATTTTGATCGTTCCACATCATCGCGGCCTGCGCATTTAGTGGACTCTCATTGTTCGGTTCGCCCAACAGAGATTGTATGGACAACAGTATGGTGCGCACGTCGTAGAGTGCCGACCATTTGTCTTTGAGTATGTCTAAACAAATAGCGCCCTGCAGGTCGACGTTGGGATGAAAGCATGGCGTCAAAAATTTAACCACTGGCGCGGCATACGGATAGGAATTTGGAAAGTCAAGCGACAAGCGATATGTCTGGCTCGAATACACAGTATTTATTGGGCCAGCGATGGTGCCGACCCATTTGAAAATGTTTTCGCCGTCTGGAAATGCCGATATTCCCTTCTCGTTGGCCATCATTAAGTTCATGAGTTCTTTGTGCAGTCTGTGTAAAACACCAACAAAACAAAAATTAATGCAAATCATTTGGTTGTTGCACAAACATACATATGTATATCTATATACATATATATGTATCAAAATTTGGCGCCTTACCTTTTGCTCACAGCATGATTGTCTTTGATAGGTAGCGAGTCATCATTGTGTTTGCTACTGCCACCAGCACCACTCTGTTCAGGGCTGATGTTTTGTGCCATTGCGTTGCACTCTGGGAATTTAGTTAGGTGTTTAATATGCTAAAAGTGTCACTATATATACTGCAATGTCAATTTTGGTAATGCGCGTCTGTTACTTTTGAGAATCTTTTTTCACTAAAACAAAATGGATGGAGGCAACACAGTGTTGCTTTGAGCGCGCGCAGGGTTGTATTTCCCGTCAGCTGAAAAATAACTAATAGCTTGCTCTATAAGCGAGTAACAAATAAGAAAATAATATTAATAAAGCAGCAGAATCATCAATCATTTATACATTTTTGCTATGACATCAATTAGTTGGAAGGAGCGATGTGCATATTTGATAATTTTATATTCTTCGCAGCTTTGTTGGTAGCACTTCAAATAAATATAAAAACTACTATGGCGATATTTAAATACTATGAGTTCATCTCTAATAAAATATCGTAAAAGTTTATTCATATTAAAAAATAAGAGCTTGATTTAAAACTATTTGGGTATGGCGTCGCTTCCGGAAGTATAAATGAATATGTATGATGTATATTGTTTCGGCTATTAGAATATGCCAAGGTGTCACAGGAGAATATGTATGCATCTAACGGTTTCAATATTGAAGTTAGCTTAATAATATGTTTATGTTTCATGACAAAGCTAAGCTATAAATGAATAATTTTTTTTTTATACAGCTTTATCAATGTGTAAAATTTACCTATCTTTTCAGAAGTCCAAACTGAATTCATTTCTAAATGGAAGAGAACAATTTGATTTATGGTTTGGAATTGCAGGCTCGGGCTCTAACGCCACAATACGGCGAAGGCAATGATGTATGCTTTTTTATAGCCACCAACTCGCTGAAGCCCACCAATCAGTTGCATCTGTTGCAATATGACGAGGAGCAGGGCACCATACAATCAAAAGTGAACTAGAAATATATTTATTGTACACATTTTTCATTGATCAATGTCTTTTCAGATCTTCGAGCATGCACTGGGTGAAGTTTGGAAGCTGAATAGCTGTCCCCACGATGCGCATTTGCTGGCATCCGTGTACAACGTACAAAAAGGAGCTCAGGTGCTTTCACAAGCAGCACTCTTAACCTTACCGAATGACGATTCAAGGAATAAAATGGATGCTGAGCCCATCAAAAGTGAATATATACCATGGGCCAAAATTGAGGTGCTAGACACGGTTGACTTGGGCGAGCGTGTGAAAACTGTTGAATTCCATCCAAGCCAAGAGCAAACGTTGGCCTGTGTGGTGGGCAACAAATTGGCCGTGATGCAGCGCGCGGAAGCATCTACTCGTGTGATAGCCGAAGTCAGTAGTGGTACCAGCGGTGCCAAGCACATGTCACCATTTACCACTGGCAAATGGTCGCATCATCATCAGGGACATCAGTTCTTGGCCTTGCATGACACGAGTATTCGGGCGTACGATGTGCGGGACACTCAACATTGCGCGTGGAGTATAGAGGATTCACATGGACAGTTCGTGCGCGATTTGGACTGTAATCCGAATAAACAGTGTCATCTAGTGACAGGTGGTGATGATGGATGCCTAAAAGTGTGGGATTGTCGCATGGTCAAGGCCCCAGTATTCGAACGCAGCGATCATTCGCACTGGGTGTGGTCGGTACGGTTTAACACATTCCATGACCAATTAATACTATCCAGCTCAAGTGATTGCAAGGTTCTACTGACCTGTGCAGGGTCAGTGAGCTCAGAGGCTCCAGGCACTGATGATAGCGAAGAACTTGGAACGGGCGCTTCACAGGAGAGACATAAAGTGCTTTCAGATGGCTTACTACAGACCTTCGACCAGCATGAGGACTCTGTGTACTGTGCAGAATGGAGTAATGTAGACCCTTGGATTTTCGCATCCTTAAGTTATGACGGCCGCGTTATAATCTCAAAGGTACCGAAACAATACAAGTACCAAATCATTATGTAACCTATTGCATACACTGAATATTCCACTAGAACGTATAATAAATATTGTTTAGGTAAATATGTTAAATAAAGCTAATTATTAATTAATGCTTAACCAGTATCTTCTGACGTACAATCGGAGGAGTCATTGGGATTGGCTGTCTCCACGGAGCAGACACGTTTTATCAGCTCATTTTCTATCTCAACAATACCGTTCTCGATAGCCTCCTGCATTTGCACGTATTCAATTGTCACTCCGCCCTTTTTGGGAGCTGGCTCAGCCGTGGGCTTCGGCTGGGATGATTCCGCTAACTGCGCAGCCTTCGCAGTTTCCGTTTCATCTTCTGCCTCCTCGGCCAAGCTACTGCGCTGGGGCTGAACTTCTGCATATATAGCAGGATATTGCTGCTGTAGCTTTTGCTTTATTATGCGCACCTTGCGAAATATGTAATCTAGATCCTTTTTCATTTCACTCAGTAATTTTACATGTCGTTTAAAATCTTCACTTGCATTCTTCAAACGGCTTTGTGACAAGGCATTGCAGTTGAGCAGCATTTCATTAGTTTTCTCAAAGCGCTGTAGCCTTTAAGTATATATTTGATAATTATTTATTTGCTTGTCATTTGTTTCTACTCACATTTGTTTTTGTGCTCTTATCATGGTCTCAACATCGCTCTGATTTACCATTCCAGATAGACCTTGAATAAAAGATTCGGCAGCTGTACAGTTGCTAAATTCATATCCATTAAAAGACTCCAGATCTGGTGTAGTATCTGCATTGTCCTCCGCTATATCCGTAGCTTTAATTTCAGACATTAAGCTTGCTGACCAGAAGATACAAACAAAACATAAACAAGTATTATTTATACAGCACTATCAAAGCTAATCGATAAATCAAAGCTTAGTCGATATATCGCGAAGTCACTGTGTCAACGGTCTGAAATAATTATTGCAAATTCTGTTACTTGTATATTTAAAAAAAAGATATATATTTATTTATATGTTAATTCCAACAGAAAATCTTGGACGAAATGCGTAAATACTTTTTGAACGTAAAGTCACTACATTTTATTGTTAACAGATGTTTTGCTTCTCGGGCAAATGTTAAATGTTAGTAAGCTCTGTTGATAGCATTTTTGCAAATGTTAAACCTCTTGACCGTCAACAGCTGTTCAGAGAATAGCTTAGCTTGCGGAATAATTGGAGAATTGTTTCTTTTTTTTTGTTATTCGTTTTATTATTTTATTAGCTATGAAGCTGGCACCGACAGTTAAATTGAATAATGGATACGAAATGCCCGTTTTGGGCTTGGGAACGTACAATGTGAGTTGCGTTTAATTATAATAAATATTTATT